TTATTTATTTATTTATTTATTTATTTATTTATTTATTTTATTCCACTTATACTAGAAACTCAACTAAACAAATAGCAGTCGAGTTCAATAGGCTCTTAATGCAAAACTAATATTAATTAACAATAAAATTGAGTATAAGCATAATAAAACAAATAAGAAGAAAAAAAAAAAAGAAAAAGAAAAAAGAAAAAAAAGCATGTACACTATCAGCATAGGAGCACACTTACAACCGGTACAGGATCAAATTGCAAATGAACCCCTAAGCCATCGCAAACATGCATAAGCCTGGCAACCGATAATAAATTGACAATAATTCACTTTCGAAACGTAACGACTTTTTAAGGATAAAGCTAGTTTAAATACGACATAGGTAAATCGCGCGTATTAAGCAATGTTGCTTTAATGGACTTTAAAGAGTCCGATAACGAGAATAAGTGGTAGACGTCATTTAGGTTCTTGCAAACGACTCTGAGCGGATTGAACAGCTCATAATTAAATTTACACTGATTAAGCTTTACCAAGATAAAGTGCCTAGAGAAGCGGTTAGGGACATTGAAGCTTACTTCACCAAGTAATGAAGGCGAGTCAATAGCACCATTTATTACTTTAATTAGAAAGGAAACGCCAAGAACAAATCTACGTTTCTCAAGAGACGGTAGGGACAGCAGAAGCAACCTATTTTCATACGGAGGAAGAGAGGCAATCGGAAAAGAAAAAAAATTGAATCAAAATAATTCTGAAGAGAAAAAAACTTAAAACTGTTAGTGCAAATGTTATAAATAATAATAATAAAAAAAAAAAAACAGGTAGGAATGCTATAAAGCGGCAAGGCCGATCATTAAGCAACCCACCCACTTCGCTTAATTAGCATGCATGATTTTCATGAAAGAGCTCGGCAAGGCTCGGCTTGGCTTAAAAAAAAAAACGACTCTTCAGGCTCTGCGGACGTACGTAACACCTAGAAGAGTCTAAAATAGCTTGTTTGTCCCTCTGTCCGCCTGATGTCTTTCTTCAGATCGCGATTCTTGAGATATTTTGATGAAATTTGGTACACTGACGTGCTTTGGCCTAAGGACGATCGCTATTAAAAATGATTCGGATCGACACGTGTGGAAAAAATTATAATTGAAATAATGATAGTTGAGATACTGTTTAGTTTTAAATTGGTTTGTAAAATTTGGTTCGGCTGAGCTTCTCTCACACAAACCTTCCTACGAAAACTAAAACTTTATACGTTAAACTGGTCTAATGTTCAATATTTCCTGGTGAGAATGGGTTCAAAATAGTAAACTGACAAAGAAATCAATCTTACCGTATTCGGACCACGTAAATCTATTTTATAATGGTAAGAAGGATTCTCAGGAAACGTAAATCTTTATATGCCGAAAGGACATAATTGTTAATTTTTATGATGAAAATTTGGTTATGATAGTAATTTGACGTAAACGTTGAGGACCGAATTTGAACGACTTGGGTCTATTTCTAGGATCCCGTGGTTCCATAATAGCAATTTAACAAAAAATTAACGATAGGCAATTTGGATCACATGGCTCTATTTTTAGACCCTAACATATATCGGGATTATCATGAAGAGCAGATGTTTATATGGGGAGAAAGTCGCCCTTCAATATGCGGGCTGTATGAAAACTAGGCCGTTGCATGAAAATCATATGTAATACCAAAACGGTGTAGGGTTTTTAATCGACCGTCTTGTCCAACTTTAATGTTTACATTTGCTTTTTTTTATTAACACTTATTTATTTGTATGCTGTAATTGTACGTGTGTTAGTATGTACACATTTAAAATTTCGCACATAATTCGCTTGAGTCGACCAGGCGCCCAGAAATAGCTAGAAACAATTTCTTTTTACATTCTTTGCTCAAATATTCTTGAATTCTTTCTTCGTTCACTTCGATACACATACACAAGCAGTCATAGGATTGAAATCTCACTTTTCGAAATGCTACGATAACGATAATGTGAGTATAACATTAGATGGAATGGCATAAATAATTCCAGTAAAAATCAAAGCTGGACGCGCTTAGGCGCATTCCAATATTGAAACTGGTTGAGAATTTATACACTTTGTGGGGTTTTTTGAAGCTTGTTTCTATGGGTTGTAAAAATTAAAAAAAAAAAC